CGCCGGGGATGGCATGTACGTACATGCCATGCCCACTGTGAGTCGACTTGTTCGATTGTTTTTACACATAGATGGCTACACGTGCACTAAGTATCCAATGAGCCAATTACGAGTACTGCCTGTCTCGCCTGTTCACCCTTTTCATCGATTTACGAAAATATTTAACGTTATCCTAATTTGCTATTAAAAATAACACCATCTATATTTATAGCACTAGTAAAAATACGTTTTTTCCGGCCAATTCAAGGAAAGGTGAAATCAGGACTAGCAGAGCCATCTATGGACAGAGTTATTTCACAATAATATAAGAAATTGAGTACTGCATTTCTCCCATTTTTTGTTCATTTTCCCCGGCGGCAATGGGTTAAGCGGCGAAGCGGGTCGGAAGTTCAGGCGGTCGCTCCAGGGACCAGCCACGCTCTCAAGGGGCGCATGGTTCATGTATATTTCGTGTGTGTTTTGCTCTCTCTCTCTCTCTCTCTCTCTCTCCCTCCCTCCCTCCCTCCCTCCCTCCCCCTCCCCCTCCCTCCCTCCCCCTCCCCCTCCCTCCCTCCCCTCTCCCTCCCTCCCTCCCTTCCTCCCTCTCTCCCTCCCTTCCTCTCTCCCTCCCTCCCTCCCTCTATCCCTCCCTCCCTCCCTCTATCCCTCCCTCTATCCCTCCCTCCCTCCCTCCCTCTTTCCGTCCCTCCGTCCTTCCCTCCCCCTCACTCTTCTTCCTCTTTCTCTCCCTTGGTCTCTTTCCTTCTTTCCCCAGTCCCTGTCTGTATGTCTCATTCTGACATAAAGAGAGAGTCAAAAGTTGTCAATTTAAGTGACTAGACTGAAAAGGTTATCAAATACACATGTGCTCTTGTTTTGAATTAGAAGTCAGAGGAAACGCATGAAAAATTCAGGTGACGTATACCATTTCTTTTAGAATTCTAATAATTCTGCTTAGAATAAGAGAGAGAGAGACAGAGAGAGACAGAGAGAGTGAAAGGGAGAGAGAGAGTGAATGAGAGAGAGACAGAGAGAGAGAGGGGGGGGAGTGGGTTAATGAGTGAGTGAGTGAGAGAGAAAGAGAGAGAGGGGGGGCGGAGATCGAGGGGAGAGAGAGAGAGAGAGAGAGAGAGAGAGAGAGAGAGAGAGAGAGAGAGAGAGAGAGAGAGAGAGGAGAGAGGAGAGAAAGAGAGAGGGGGGGCGGAGATCAAGGGGGGAGAAAGAGAGAGAGAGAGAGGGGGGGCTTAGAGGGAGGGGGGAGAGAGAGAGAAAGAATGAGACAGAGACAAAGACAGAGACAGACAGACAAAGAGATAGAGACAGAGAGAGGGGGAGAGAGAGATTGAAAGAGAGAAAGGGAGGGAGAGAGAGAAGGGGGGGGAGGGAGAGGGAGAGAGATAGAGATAGAGATTGAGATTGAGATAGAGGGAGAGAGAGAGGGAGAGAAGGAGAGAGAAAGAGAGAAGGGGGGGAGGGAGAGAGAGAGAGAGTTAAAGTCAAAGTCAAAATACTTATTCCATATAAATTGCAATGGTTATTCTTTACATAAATATATATATATTTACATTTGAGTGTTTAAGAGGTGTTCTTTTAATTTTGTTTTAAAATTACAGAAGCTGTTAATGTCTCTTACATTATCTGGTAGCATGTTCCATAATTTGGGTCCACGTATTTCCATCTGCCGTGCCCCTGTATAGGTATTTGATCTCTTGACAAAAAGAGAATTTACTTGACGCGCCTGGACACCTAATGTGTTCCCTACGGTTTGCAATGGCATTAACCATTTCGGATAATTTCCATAAATGAGTTTATAAATGAATACACATGTGCCATAGCTGCATTTAGATTGAATTTTTAACCATTTTAATTTTTTAATATGCGGGGTGATGTGATCAAATTTACTGATATTACCTAATGCTACTCTGGCAGCAAAATTTTGTAATTTTTGCACTTTTTGCATCTGGGTTTTGTTAGTCGAACCCCAAATGTTTGAACAATAGTTAATTATGCTTAGGGCTAGAGTTTGTACAACCATGATTCTAGTTTCAGTAGTGATCTGATTTCGTATATGATTTAGATATACCAGGGTACCCACAACTTTCCTGTGTATTTTGTCAACGTGTGGTTCAAATGTCATGAATCTGTCTAAGAGTATTCCTAGATTATTCACTGAAGTTCTCGGTTTGATAGAGCAGCCTTCAAATTCTATGACTGTGTCACTGGGAATTTTAGCTAAGTTCTGCCTACTACCTATGAATATACATTGAGTTTTATGTGGATTTAGTTTAATACCATTGGTGTCAAAATATAGTTTAGCTTGTGCTAAAATATCTTGCTTGTTTCTTATTAATGTATTTAAGTTGTTTACAGAGTCACTATGAAGAAACTGTGAATCATCAGCGTACTGCACTAGAAGGCAATTATGGGCCATTGCTGACAAATCATTTATGAAAATTGTAAATAAGATCGGACCTAAAATAGATCCTTGTGGAACACCAAAAGGTACTTCTTGTTTTGATGACATACAATTATTGATTCTTACCGATTGGGCCCTTGTATATAAATAACTTTTAAACCAAAAGGTATCAATTCCATGATTTACTAATTTATTAAGGAGAATTTCATGGTTAACACTATCAAAAGTCTCAGAAAGGTCGCATAATGTTAGCAGATTTACCTGATGTTTGTCTATGTTATTATAAATCTCATTAGTAATTTTCAGTAAAGCTGTTTCAGTTGATAATCTATTTCTAAAACCATGTTGTGTTTTAGATAATAAGTTATTGGCCTCCAGGAAATTCGTTAGTTGATTTGCTACTATTTTTTCAAGAATTTTGGATAATATAGGGAGTATAGTGATTGGGCGATAATTATTGACATCGTCTATATCCCCCGACTTGAAAATTAGTGTTACTATACCATGTTTCCAGAGCGATGGAAAGACACCAGTGATCAGAGAGGTGTTAATAATGACCGTCAAATAATGTACAATTGCGGGTAGACTATCTCTGATAAAGCGCAAAGCAATACCGTCTGCTCCTACAACATTTGTTTCGCGAAGGTGTTTTATTACTAGGATGATTGTTTCTACGTCCACTGGTTGTGGTCTGAAAAAATTAGTTGTAATACTTGCCCGATCTGTGCTTTGTTGTAATGTAGAAGCAATTGTTTTCTCGTAAGTCAGTTTACCAATTTTTGAAAAAAAGTAATTAAAATTGTATGTTGTTTGTGAGGGACTTGTGCAATCACTAGTGAGGTGATTGTTGTGAGGCACTAGTGTTTTAACAATTTTCCATGTTTTATCAGAGTTGTTCTTATATTCTGTGAATTTATTTCTGAAGTAATTTCTTTTTGCACATTGAATTAGTAAGTTTACATTTTTCTTTTTTGCTTTGTAATCTACCTGAAAGACAGCCTCATTTCTATTACTTTTAAGAACTTGGTGGACATTATTTCTATCGATAATGGCTCTCTTGATGTTGTCATTTATCCATGGAGCAGGGGGACGTCTGACGGTTCGTGTTATGTAAGGAGCCAGCGTATCAATGCTGCTTTTAATAACTTCCGTAAGGATAGCTACTTGGTTGTTTACATTATCTGTCAATGAAATATCTGATAGAGTCATTTCTTTAGACGAGATAAGATCGCAAAAAGATTGAGGGTCGTAGTGTTTGAAATCGCGAAAAGTTTTGATTACTGGTGACCTCTTTGTTTTCGTAATATTTAACGTCATCGTGATAAGTTCATGGTCAGCAACATGGCACGGGATGACATCGAAGTGGAGAATGAGGTCTGATCTGTTAGTTATTATTAAATCTAATAGAGAAGAGGTGTTTTCAGTAATTCGTGTAGGTTTATCTATTATTTGTTCTAATTTATTTTTCTTTATCATCTTAGCTAACTTAGCATTAGATTTTGTTAGATCATCATTTAGGTCACCTAAAATGAAAAGTGGTTTCTTTTTAGAGACCTCTCTAAAAACCTTTTCAATGTATTCAAAAGATTCCGAGGTAGCATGGGGGTGCCTATAGACAGCGCCAATAACAAAGGAAGGAAGCATGTCGCTTTGTACGGTAACCCAGACTTCAGGGTATCCCGTACATATATACATACTCCTCCTCCTCGCCCTGCATCACATCTATAAACTTTAAAAGTTGGAATATTTATGAAGTTACTAACCATTTCCTGGTAGAGCCATGTTTCACTAATGCATAGTATGTCTATGTTTCTCTCCTCAACTAGCATTTTAATTTCTTCAAAATGTCCGAGGAGAGAGTGAGCGTTTATATGTTCTATTTTTATGACATTGTGCGATCTAGTCACTGGTAACGCTGACGGCGTTGCCTTTTCAGACATTCTGATCGCGCTTGTACTTGTTTTTGTTTAAGAACACTTTAACATTGTCGGGAAAAGCATCAGAGTCTATAAATACCTCGGGTTTTATGTTCTTTCCCCGTACAGACACCGTGAAGCTGGTGTAGTAGTCATGTGTGATTACTGTCTTATGGGCTTTTACGCTTGAAATGTTTTGAAACTTTTCATATATGTTGTTCTATGTCCTCTTCGTTTGTGTCTGGGTGACAACTGGTGATGTACAGGTACACTGTGTCTGGACGATCTGCTCCCTTTAACGGCTTTGGTGTTTGGTGTTCTCGGTCTTTTTTGTCTTTTCTTCTCTGGTTTCTCGATATAACTTTTGTATAACCTTCTTCATCAACAACTTGTGTGGACCGTTCTGCATAGTTGTTAATGATGACTGGTGACACTGCTGGAGGAGGGAGGGCAGGGGGTAGGGCGGTAGCCCCTTGCACCTGCTGTTTCCTCCCAGTGGCGGTTGGGGTCGAGTTGTTCGGTTTGCTCTTTGTTTCTGTTGTTCTGTTTTTTTTTTTTGTTTTTTTTTGAAGCTCCGTTTAGGTGTTACTTGTGTAGAAGCTTCAGCCTTGGTCTTCATGGGCGTGTTGGTTTTGGGTCTGACGGCGGGAGGGTTTTGGTTTGTTTTGGGTCTGACGGCAGGAGGGCTT